CACCCTCACCTACCCACCCAGGCTGCTTCCCTGTACACCTACCCTCCCCCCACTGCCAAGGCCCCCTCCCCAGCACACCCACCCTCCCTCTCCTGCCCAGGTCGCGTCCCTGTACATGCACCCTTCCCTCTCCCCCCTGCCCAGGCCGCTTCCCTGTACACGCACCCTCCCCTTCCTTGCCCATGCCTGCTTCCCTATCCACCCATCCGTCCCCTCCCTTCCCCTCCCTTGCCCAGGCCCCCATTCCCTGTGCACCCACCCTCCCCACCACCTGCAACCGCCCTTACACTCCATCACTTCCCTTCCCTCCCCCATGCCCACCTCTCCCCCAGCCCTTCTCCTCCCTTACTCCACCCCTGCTTCCCTACTGCCTGCTGATAAACCCCCCAACCCCGTATGCCTCCACTGCATTCACACACTTCCCAGTGCTCATGGGTTACTGGGCTGGTCCCACACAGCGGAGCCACCACTGGGATCTATCCCATCCCACACTACAGGCCAGGCGGGGCCGTGCCCTGGGGAGAGGTCCCCACCTGGCACCTCTCATTGCCCCCCCGCCAGGGGCAGACACTCACGTAAGCTGCTGGTGCAGATGACCTGGTCACGGGCCGCCTGTGTGATGGCCTCCACCAGCTGCTGAGGCAGGCTCTGCAGCACGCTGCCCAGCTGGGCTGTGACAGGGACGGACAGGGCCAGCCTGTGGGCTACCACCACACTGCCCTGCCTGGGGAGCAAACGCCCGGGGGCCATCAGCCTGCACCCGCCTCTCCATCCCCCTGTGGGGTCCCCCCACCCCAGATCAGCCTCTGCCACGATGCTGCATGTGGCTGGGTCACATGGTAGCAGCACACACATATCCACGTGCGTGCAGTCACATGTGCAAACACAGAGTCCTGCACCTGGGACGGAAGAACCCCAAGCACTGCTAAAGGCTGGGGACCAACTGGCTAAGTAGCAGGTCAGCAGAAAAGGACCTGGGGGTTACAGTGGCTGAGAAGCTGGATATGAGTCAAGGTGCGCCCTTGGAGCCAAGCAGGCTAATGGTATATTGGGGTGCATTAGGAGGAGCATTGCCAGCAGATCCAGAGAAGTGATTATTCCCCTTTATTTGGCTCTGGTGAGGCCACATCTGGAGTATTGTGTCCAGTTCTGTGGCCCCCCACTACAGAAAGGATGTGGTCACAGCAGAGGCCAACAAAACGACGAGGGGGCTGGAGCACATGACTTATGAGGAGAGACTGAGGGATCTGGGGTTGTTTAGTCTGCAGAAGAGAAGAGTGAGGGTTGATTTGAGCAGCCTTCAACTTCCTGAAGGGAGGTTCCAAAGAGGATGGGGAGAGGCTGTTCTCAGTAGTGATGGATGGCAGAATGAGGAGCAATGGGGTCTAGGTTGGATATTAGGCAAAACTATTTCCCTAGGCTGGTGGGGAAGCTCTGGGATGGGTCCCTAGGGAGGGGGTGGAATCTCCATCCCTAGGGGTGTTTAAGTCCCGGCTTGACAAAGCCCTGGCCGGGATGATTTCATTGGGGCTGGTCCTGCCTAGGGCAGGGGGCTGGACTCAATGACTCCTGAGGTCTCTGCCAGCGCTAGAGTCTAGGACTCCTGTGCACACACGATCTCCTTCTCCATTCAAGCACCCTCTCCCCCCGCCCTGGCAGAGGCTGTTTCTGATGTGTCTGGGGATGTGGCAGCAGGAACACCTGCCCCCCCCGGGGTGCCAGCACTCAAGGCTCATGGGTGGCACTGGGGTCCTTTGTTTCTGACACTCACATAAGCTCCAAGATCTCCACATCCCGAAACCCCAGGAGGTGGCTATAAACCGGCTTGATCTGGAAGGGAAGGGGGACAGGTGTCACAGACCGGGATGTCCTGACTGGCAAACACTGAGCTGGGGATGTGCAGGGGGCCGGTGCAGCTCCCAGCTGCAGCACAGACGCAGCCAGTGCTCCCAGCTCGGTGCGGGAAACCATGCCCCATCCTGTCTCTGTTCCGTTCCTCTCCCTTAAACAGCTAGGAAGACTGCAGCAGAGCCCGGCTCTGGCTGGCTCCAGCTAGCTCCCTGCACACTACATCCCCCTTCCTGCCCCTGAGAGACTCCAGCGCCAGGCCCCCAGCCCTTCCGCCCCTGAGAGACTCCA